GAGCTGTTAAGGACTGCACCAAATGACCTTCCTCCTAAAATTGTAAATAATCATCAAGTACTTTGAGGCTAGATGGCTCCATGAGAGCCAATTGATCCTAGAGACCTGTCATCTCAATGTAGAAATCCTGAATAAACCAATCCCGTTGATGAGCACCCTGAATAGCGGATTCCAATTCATACTATATGGCAAAGTTGGACTGTTGATACATGCCCAATAAATAACCCTACACCTCCTTGGTAGTGTTATATTTGGAAAATATCATTCCAATATGGTCTTCTACCAAGTTGTGAAACCAAGTCAGAACTTAAGCATTATTACAATCCTAAGTGTTACCAGCAGCCATATATCTATATTTTTTCGGATTTGATGGATGTGAAATAGAATCAGAAACATATTACCATTTTTTCCGACTAAGAAGAAAATTCTTCGTAACACTAGATCAATAGACATAATTGGCACCAACAAGTTTGCAATTGATGGCTTGAATTTTATCCTCTGATATCGCAATAAACCAAAAAGCAATGGGTTGAAGTGTAATAAACTAAAAAGTGGGATTAACACTTAGTGTCCAACTGTTGAACCCTCAAGAGTAGTATGATCAAAGTAGAGGGAGAGAGAAAAGATTCAGGTTGCAAAGTAGAGAGAGAGAGAAGAATCAGATGGCGATTGTGAGACTTGGGTTTCTCGCGAAATTAGGGTTTTGATTGAGGTTGGACTAGATGAAGGTTGTTGGTGGTCGACGGTGGTTGCAAGCCAGAATTGATGAAGATCTTCGGTGGTCGCGAACCAAGGGTGAGTCGTCGCTACCATAGACAGAGGAAGAGGGACCTTGCGAACTCGATTGTGAGAGGACCTCGTGACAACAAACCAGAATGAGAGAGAGAGAGAGCAGCAACGAGGGGCAGATTTCAGTGCTAAGGTTCTGACGATGGTGATAGGCTTTGATACCATGTAAGTTCTATGAGAAACTTGTAGATTCAATGGTGTAAAATATAAAGAGTACATCTAAGGTTTTAAAAAGTGACCGTAACCGTTACGTAACTCAGTTACGTAACGGTTGTGGTGGTTACCGCCATCCGTTACAGTTGCTTTGGAGGTGTGATTGAGATTCACAGATGTGTCAGCCGTAGTGGTTGCTGTAGCGGTCATAACTGTGCCGTAACGCACCGTTACGAAACGGTTCCGAACTGCTTCTTTCAAAAAAAAAAAAAAAAAAAAACAAGCTGAAAATGGGAAAAGAGGGATAGAGAGAGGAAGGAAGATAAAGAGGGAAGATGGAGGAGTAAGAGATAGAGAGAGAGAGAAGAGGGAAGATGAAGAACATGTTATTGATTTGTTGAAACTGTAAGACTTAAGCTATTCTATTCAGTTGCTATCATTCAACCATTTTGTTTGTGTGTGTGTCTATCTATATATTGTTTGATAATAATAATAATAATAATAATAATAATAATAATAATAATAATAATAAGTGTGATCATTATCTATTTGGCTTGATTAAAAAATATATTTATATATTTAGCTCTTATTTATTCTATTACTTTTGTTATTGTTTATCTTATATATAATAGTTAGTAATTGATTTTTTTGTAAAATTATATATTAATACATATTTTATACATGTCAATTTTTATTTTATTTTATTTTATTTTTATTTACAGGTTATCCAAAAAGAAAATGAATATTCAAGTGATCCAAACCCCAAAAAAGAAAATTCTTCATAATTTATTTTTTTAATTTTTATATGATTACATTAGCATGTATAGTTTATTTTTTTAAAACTATTCAAGTTAAAATTTGCATATGCTTCCACAAGTATAATAATTTAAAAAATAATTTTATATATTTAAGTCCAATAAATTTTTTTTTTTTTTGCCACAAGCGTAATATGGATTTATGACATATATTAAAAATTTACAAAAATTGATCAATGTTTATTTTAAAATCCAATAAATATGATTATGGAAAAAAAAAAGTGTATCGGTAAATTTTTTTCAAATTGTATGAAAAATAAAAAAATTCATGATTCCGGTTACCGCAACTGTTATGCTACGGCCTTTACACCCCACAACCATGCTATCGCCACCGTTGCGGCGACTGCAACTGTTTTTCAGAACCTTGAATACATCTGATTAGGCCTAAGACTAAAAAAGGGAATAAAAATAAATCTAATATTCTTACAATCAATCTAATATTCACACAATCTAATTTATTTACACAATCAATCTAATATTCTCACAAACACAACTCCAGCATTCTTCCAAGTAGTTCCTACAAACTGGAACTGGGTTTCACTTCGGTTTTTACATTGTAGGCCGGTTTTCTAGTGCAAGTAGTTTTGGTGATTTGTCTGGACCAGAAACATGACCAGTTGATTGTTTGACACACCCACAGTTAAATATAGACTTAAGTTTTGTGTCCAACGAAATAAGAGAGTTGCACATCTTAAATCCTAATTTTGTCTATTCAAAGAAAATTTTTTACCCAAAATTCAAGATTCGGATTGTAGTTAAAAAAATGTAGTATGATGTTTGCTTTGTCACTGTCACTACCATTGTTGCTGCCACCTATGTTACATGGAGTCGCCGGTTTCGGCTGGAGTACCCGTGTCGGCACGACACGACACGACACGGATATGGGTGCGGGACTTGAGTCAAACACATCATCCTTGTGACGGACACGGCTGACTACAGATGACCGTTGACGAAGAAGAAGAAGAAGAAGAAGAAGAAGAAGAAGGAGGAGGAGGAGGAAAAGGAGGATCAGAGATGTACTTGTGTATGGCGTTGTTTTGAAGCCGTTGATGATGGACTTCACGAAGACTCCGACGTTGTTTGATCGATTGATCGACGTCTCTCTCGTTCTCTCTCTTTTCTGATTCTGTCTATCTCTCATTTTCTCTCTCTTCTCTTGGGACTCTTTTTATTGGAACTCTTGCCAGAAGGCAAGACTCTTTTATAGCTCTCTTTTTTTATTTGGTTAGATAAAAGGAATTTCATTTATTAAAAGGATATTTTACTATCTTTTATACTTGATATAAGTAGCCATTTTTTTAATTTGTACATTGGTATGTGTGTTTTAAAGTTTGTTAGTATTCATTTTTAGATTTTTTCTCTACATTGTATTTTTTCTTAGAATCTTGAATTTATTAATTAATTTTATTTTTATGCCTATAATGATTTTTATTTGTTATTATTTTAAAAAAAAAATGTATTTAAAACTCATCATATATTTTTAGAACTCATCATATTTTTTTAAATATATATATATAAATAAATGTATCCCCATACCCATATCCAACTTTTAATCGGTGTCCCCATATCCTAAAATCAGAAAAAATGGAGAATCCAACTCTTAGACACGTATCTATGTCTGACACTTCTGCCAAGTCCATGCAACATAGGCTGCCACCACCATCACTGTTGTTAGTTGTTACTGCCACCACCATCCTACCATTAGTATGTCTGTTGTTGCCTCCATCTTCTTCACCACCACATTATTATTACCATATTTTCCCATCACGTCCATAACAATCGCTGCCACCATGTCACCCATCACCTCTATCATTGCACTACAGTCCAAATTACAGGCAAAATCGAGTGCTACCTATGCAACCACCATCATATGGTCATTATCAACATTCCTCTTCCATCTCTGTCCGATTCTCAACATCTCATCCTAGATCCCAATGGCCAACATTCCTCTTCCAACTCAATGGCCAACTGGCACTTGTAGAAACTTATTAATTATATGAAGAGGAGGACAAATTCAAATGTTAAATTCATATCCATTCAATATTCCATTATAGTGACACCTGCATGTATTCAAACCTAGAAGTGCATGTGTACAGATATACCTCCATATACACCAATTGATGTTTATTTATAAGCTTGTGTGCGCCTGTGATCACGTGTGCACAGATATTAATGCATACACATGGAAATTGCAATATACTAACTTTAATAGGTTTACCAAAAAGAAAAATAATTGTAAAATTAAATCACTTTCTAAAGTGAGTTTCGAACATAGTTTTTCTTTTCTGCTCTTATTTTTAGCAAAAAAGCGATGAAGTTATAATTTTATTTTTATTTTTGAAATTATAAATTAAAAAGTGGTACGAAACAGTACTTAAGTGTTTTAAATGCTTTAATTGCCTGGTATTACGTCAGTTTTACTTACGTTATATTTTTTTCCCTCTCAGATTTTGATAACGAGAATTTGATGTCTTTACAATGGAATTTTGATAACGACAATTTGGAGGGTCTAGAAGTTACATTCACGAAATCTTTTAGACATTTCCATAAAGGGATTCGCCAAATGTTATGTTGATCTATGACACTTTTGGTTGATATTTTGATCATTAATTGGGATTTTGATATTCAACCCAAGACAATTTTCAATTGAATATGTTAATAGGTTATGCTTAGACTACATTTGAATTCAAGTTTGTCTAAAATCCCTAAATGAGATGCAACCTGCTAATACACTTCTACTGATCTAAAGAAGAATGAAAAGGGATACTTGCACATTTAAAGTTCACTTGGAAATGCATAAAAATAAAAATAAAAAGAATGGAAGTACATGAATATGCTAGACTACTCTATTGTAACTATTGTTTTGAAGGTGAATTTGGCTCTTATGTAGATTCCTTCTGTTTTATTTTTTCAATTTATAGATTATTTGGTCTATACACATTTAGGCCTCGTTTGGGGTTTGGCCTTTTTGGTGACTTTTTGGCTTTTTAGCTTTTTTATGAGGTGAAAAAAGTTAATGTTTTGGGAATGATTTATTTATTTATTTAAAATTTATGGAAAAATGTGAATGACTGGTGTATATGATTTGCTTTTTTGGTGGTGTTTTGGCTTTTTAAGTGTCTTGACTTTTTGACTTCTTTTTAGCTTTTTGGTTTTTTTAGCCTAAAAGCTGAGTTTCCAAACGAGGCCTTATTATTTTTATTATATATGACTTATATTTATTTTTTCACTTTTTTATCCCAGTTTATCTTTTCAACGGCAACAGATGGGAAAATAAAGGCGTGGTTGTATGATAACCTGGGTTCTAGAGTTGACTATGATGCTCCAGGTCATTCATCGACCACAATGGCGTACAGTGCTGATGGGACCAGGTTCAGAAAATTATCTTACTTTCCATTATTCTGGTTTCCTTATTTATTATTTGTGAGGGGTTGATATTTATGAAGTACAATACATGGTATTTCCTACTAAAGCGATGGTTTCATGATCTAATGGGCATGTGGTAGGTTGTTCTCCTGTGGGACCAATAAAGAAGGAGATTCATACCTTGTGGAATGGAATGAAAGTGAGGGAGCTGTGAAGCGTTCCTATCATGGTCTTGGGAAGCGATCGGCGGGGATCATGCAATTTGATACCACAAAGAACCGATTCTTGGCAGCTGGTGATGAGTTCATGGTCAAATTTTGGGACATGGACAGTCTTAACTTATTGATAACTACTGATGCAGAGGGTGGATTACCGGTAATTGTTTGATGCATGTAATTTAATGTAGATCTTTCTGCCAGGATCCCCCTTCCTAACCAACCATTCTTGTCTGAAATATATCTCCAGGCTTGTCCATGTATCCGATTCAACAAGGAAGGGATATTGTTGGCTGTTTCAACAAATGATAGTGGTATCAAAATTCTTGCAAATACAGATGGGATGAGACTACTACGGACGGTTGAAAGTCATCCATTTGGTGGTTCTAGATTTGGCTCTGCGGGTGTTGTGAAGGTAAAGTGATTTTTAACTTCTTCTAACAGCTTTTGTGCAAATATATAATTTTAAAATGTTTCATGTATATATATAGGCACCTACAATGGGAACATTCGGTGATGCTAAAACACCTGTTGGATCTAGCATCATAGATAGAGCTGCTCCAATGGCATCCGTTGTTCCAATGGTGAGTGTTGGTGTGTGGGGAATCCAGTTTCTAAAACGAGCACAGTTTTATTTTTTATTTTTTTATTTATGTATTTTTTAATATTATTATGCATATTGTTTCACGTCACTTTGATAAAACTTAAAAGTCTGCTTCACATGCTTGTTTTTTGTTTTATTTATTTATTTTTGATCACCTTCTGTTTTGTTTTACTAAAATCCTTGTGCATTGCATGATCAACCTTTATTCTTTTGAGTTCCTGTAGAATGGTGATGATCGAAGTTTGGCAGATGTAAAACCCAAAATAGCTGATGAGTCGGTAGACGAATCTAGGATCTGGAAACTGACAGAAATCAATGAACAATCACAATGTCGATCCCTGAAGCTCCCAGATAGTTTGACAGCAATGAGGGTATGGGTCCACTCTATTCAGGCCTATTAGAAATTATTGTATTGATTTTTACTTCTTACAATCTTTTCTATATTTCAACATACGCTTAGCTGTTTGTACCACTGGTGGAATGCTGACTACCTAAATTTTAAATAAAATTTACTGGATTCTCTCTCTCTGTCTCTCTCTCTCTCTCTCTCTCTCTCTCACACACACACACACACACACACACACACACACACACACATATCCCTAATTATGCTGTTGATACAATAGTCACATCCTTTACATTAAATTAAAGTTGAATACATCATTGAGTTAGTTAATAATAAACTTCATTTTTTTCCTCTGAACAAAAAAAAAAGTAATAAGTTTCTTTATTAATGGGCATATTAAAAGCAGTTAAAAGTTGCTTGGCTCATATTTTTAAATTTTTTTATTGCTTGAACTTAAGTTGTTTGAATTTTGCTCCTGCTTATATGGTTTCAAAATAGGACAATTTAGTTATTCAAGACATTCTACATGCATATATTCTCTGGACTCGACCAACACCACTGCTCTCTCTGCTGATATGCAGAAATGGACACTGGCACCACAGGGAATAGGATGGATTTGGCTGAATTTTATATAGATCAAGAAAAGGTTGAATATATGTTACATCGACCTGTATATGGGAGTCGGGTGTGGGGTTGTGTCTAAGCATCTGATTCTTGTAATTAATATGTCCAAGGACACTGGGACACGGCTAGATATTCACATTTCTTGATATTCTTCTTTTATTATCTAGTGTAAAATTGGATTTACAAGAGTATTTATGCATGATATGAGAGTTTTATGGATTGTTATAATATTATAACTCAATTGCGAGACATGCATACTAGGTGCAAGATGAACTAGACATGTCGGACGCATATCACATTCCCTTACACCCAAGTGTTGAGTGTTCAACACAGATACTTAGCTCGTTTAGAGGAGTTGATGAATATACATTTCTTGAGAGCTTTTTAGTTTGTGATAGAATTCTTGGAACTTCTTGCAAGTTGTAAAACAATATGCAGATTAGTTTCTATTCAAGTTTTGCTTGAGATCTTCTGGAGTAGAGTCTGTTGAGATTTTATAGTTCATTTTTATATTGTCCCTTTTATTATACTTCCACATTTCAGGTTTCCAGGTTGATTTATACAAATTCTGGACTTGCTATTTTGGCACTATCAGCCAATGCAGTGCACAGGCTCTGGAAATGGCAGAGAAATGAACGGAACGTGACTGGCAAGGTATAGTCATCTTTGCAAGAAACTTGCATTGACATTCTGTGACATTAATATGCATAAGCTCGCCACTTACACAATTAGCTCAATCTGTCTGCCTGTTGTAGGCAACTGCTAGTGTTGCACCACAGCTTTGGCAACCTTCAAGTGGAATATTGATGACAAATGATATTAATGATACAAACCCTGAAGATGCTGTTCCGTGCTTTGCACTTTCAAAGAATGACTCTTACGTTATGTCAGCTTCAGGAGGGAAAATCTCTTTATTTAATATGATGACATTCAAGGTAAATGACTCCTGCACAGACTCTTCTTTATCTCTGCTCAAATACGGTCTACTTTATTAATATTGTACTAACTGTTCAAAGAAAAATGCGGCAGACCCCCAGTCCCCCCGGACCCCCAGTGACCACCAGCCCACGTGGCTGTGGGTGATTGGAAAGAAAGGATAAAAAAAAAAAAAAAAAAATTATGAACCAATGAAAAAAAACTGGGGGGGCTGGGGATTCAAGGTAAATGACTCCTGCACAGACTCTTCTTTATCTCTGCCCAAATACGGTCTACTTTATTAATATTGTACTAACTGTTCAAAGAAAAATGCGGCACACCCCCAGTCCCCCCGGACCCCCAGTGACCACCAGCCCACGTGGCTGTGGGTGATTGGAAAGAAAGGATAAAAAAAAAAAAAAAAAATTATGGACCAATGAAAAAAAACTGGGGGTGCTGGGGGTGCCCCCCACTGGGGGTCCCTAGCACCGTTGCTGTTCAAAATAAGAAATTTTATTGTACTCTTTTCAACTTTAATTCATTTTCTGAAACATTTAATCCTCTTGGTTCAAAAAATAAGCTGGCTTTATTTAAATAATAAAACCTAAAATAATGAACCCATCTTCAGAAAGGATAAATAATTAATAAAATTGTCAAGTGAATGAAGAACAAATGATCAGTAGGTGACGTTAAATTACTAACATTTGAAGGTATTTTAGTAGGCTTTTGCCCTCCATTGTGTTTCGCTAGCTTTTTATTCTTTTTCGATCTTGTTACATTTATTGCTCTGGTTTTTCTAATGCAGACAATGACGACATTCATGCCCCCTCCACCTGCAGCAACATCTCTAGCATTCCATCCTCAAGACAATAATATCATTGCAATAGGCATGGAGGACTCTTCTATCCAAATATATAACGTCCGAGTTGATGAGGTTACTGTTTAAACTAAAGCTTAAGCTTGTGTTTTAAATATGTCTATAAATTGGCTGTCATGTTAATATTCTGTATGGTTAAAATGTTGTCAATCAAAATCAATTGATATGTCTAATCTTAATATCGTAATTTCCTGTGGCAATCATTTGTGGACACATATCAAGTTTGTGAGTTAAATTGTTGTTAAGTGGGATCACCATGTAATGTTCAGTGTGTTCTGTTTGTGTAGGTCAAAACCAAGCTCAAAGGCCATCAGAAAAGAATAACAGGCGTTGCCTTCTCTAATGTTCTCAATGTGCTGGTTTCTTCAGGTGCTGATTCTCAGGTAAGAAATTGGGGGCCATGTGTATGTTCATTTTCTTGATGCTTGTCGCCAAAAGGACAAAAAATACCCTGTGATAATTTAGTTGCTGAAACACTCCACTATATTGTGCTCAGCTGGCATGCAGCCTCTTTACTCTTACAACGTGATATGGCTTAGGCCACATGATTAGGAACTATACGACATTGGAACTTCAAAATTAATATCTCGTAGAATATATGCTTGGAGTCTGTAAATACTCTCTGCGTTTAGTTGTTTGGTTCTTCTCTAATCAAACCAAACCAAAATAAAGCCTTGTGTCCTAGTCAAGTAGGGTCGGCTATAAATCCCTTTTATGCTATTCAACTCTATCAAGGGCTATATACTTAGTTAAATTAAATAAATTCATATATTTTTTTACTACTGCATCCTATGTCAGCGTAGGTCTTCCTTTCCCCCTTAGCATCTCCATTATCAGTCTTCCTTACTGTTGCATCTATAGGTATTCATTGTACTTGATCAAATGATCTTAACATGCTATTTCTCGACTTACCTTCAACAAGCTCTACTCTTACCATTTCACAGATATATTCATTTCTATTTCTATCTTCTCTAGTCTTATAACCCATCAATCTAAGCATTCTCAACTCAGGTACACTCATTTTATGCATATGTTGTTTCTTAGTTATTTAGCTCCTCTCTAAAAAACCAAATATATTACTCCATTTTTAGCCTTTTGTTCTATGCATCATTGCTCATTCCAGAACTACTGTATAAATAGCGAAAATGTTGCATGTTGGAATTAACCGGTCAGTGATGCTCATTTGGGTCTTTACAGCTGTGTGTTTGGAGCACAGATGGATGGGAGAAGCAAACAAGTAGATACTTGCAGGTTCCAAGCGGGCGAACACCGAATCCTCTTGCAGATACCTGTGTACAATTTCACCATGATCAGATTCATTTTCTGGCTGTCCATGAAACTCAGATTGCCATATATGAAGCTTCTAAGCTTGAATGTCTTAAGCAGGTGAAGTATATAATTTTTCTCCTATTAAATATTAGGATTAAACATCTTGGCTATCTGGAAGTTCCAAGCATAGGATGATCCATCAGATTTTTTTTCTTTCTTCCTGATACTCTAAATATACACTTATCATCAGTGCTTTACGTGCATATCTCTGTATCATTGGCCTGTGTGTTGTATGTCTTGTCTCTCGACATTATTTGGTAAATTATTTAGAAACAGAACTGGGTTCTGGTTGTTTGATGATTGTTATTAGTTCAGCCAGGAATTTGTTATTAGTCCTTGCTTCTAATATTTCTATTTTCGACTTGTGTTTCTGAAAATAGTGGGTACCCCGTGAAGCAAGTGGTCCAATTACACATGCTACATATTCCTGTGATAGCCAATCAATATATGTCAGTTTTGAAGATGGAAGTGTTGGGGTTCTCACTGCTTCATCACTCCGATTGAGATGTCGAATTAGCCCTAATTCCTATCTACCTACGAATCCAAGGTGAATATTTTTCTGATTACTTACAAAGTGCTAAAATGAATCCTTTTCTTTTACCTTTATTTTCTTGTAATGCTAGATTCACTAGTTAGTGTACCAACAAACATACCAAGACACAAGATGTGCATGTTTGTTCTTCCACTTGACGTGGGACCCACCTAACATTGTGTTTAGTTAGTATGTTTGTTGGTTACACTAATTAGTGTTCCTAACATTATTGTTATTTTCAAGCATCTAACATTTTACTTTTACAGCTTGAGAGTTTATCCTCTTGTCGTTGCTGCACATCCATCAGAACCTCACCAATTTGCCTTGGGACTTACCGATGGTGGAGTCCATATCCTCGAGCCACTTGAAGCAGAAGGGAAATGGGGAACCCACCCTCCGAATGAAAATGGTGCTGGGTCCAGCACCACAGCTGGTGCAGCCAATTCAGATCAACCCCAAAGGTGAAGACGGTTCTTTGACTATCACTTTTTCATGTCGTTTCACTCCCTGGTCCCGCCATAATTTTATTCTTGAGGGGAAACTGGAAGATTCTTGTTGGTAAGTAAAGCTGCTAGGTCTAGGTCTTACAGATGTAGGGTGTACTTGAAGCCAGCCTAGTAGGTATCGGGAAATTTATTCGAATCCTAGAGATGATACTGATTCTTTTTCATTAGGATGTTCTTTAAAGTTTAGGTCTGTTATGTAAATTTATAAGAAGCTTTGGTGGAGGTCTGTTTCAATTTTAAAGGGATTTGGGAAGGAGATGATGAGTAGGTTTGGCTGGTGGCCCTGGTTTTCTTTTTTTATTTATTTTTTAAAATTTTTTTCACCTCCATTTCAGTTACTCAGAAAAAGATACATGTAAATTAATTTGTTCTTTTATAGTAAGGGAGTTTAGCAGGCTTAGCTGATTTCTTTCCCGCATCTATTTTATTTTATTTTTTTGATCTCTCGGCGACTGATCCATATGAATTTGAGTGGCAGTGTGGTTGCAGGGAGTGTTCATTCATAGGAGGCTAATGAATGATCATCTTGTCCTTTCTACATCATTTTGGTGCACCAAATAGTACCTTATGGCTATGTTTGCTTCCACAAGACTAATAGTGATGTATTAATAATCTTATCAAATTAGTGTGGTATTTACAATCCCACCCCTACTCTATTACTAATAATCTTACAAATTTATTGGATTAACTATCCATTGGATTAATAATTCTAAAATAAAATGTCAAAATAAACATAAGATAATTAGACCCACGGATTAATAATTCTAATTCCATGCTCTAATCTTTCCAATCAAACATGTCCTATAGTCACTCGTAGGTTGGGATTTTGAAAGGGTAAAATTACAATATACTTTTTTGAGATTTGAGAAAAATGGCAGTGTGGTTGCAGGGAGTGTTCATTCATAGGAGGCTAATGAATGATCATCTTGTCCTTTCTACATCATTTTGGTGCACCAAATAGTACCTTATGGCTATGTTTGCTTCCACAAGACTAATAGTGATGTATTAATAATCTTATCAAATTAGTGTGGTATTTACAATCCCACCCCTACTCTATTACTAATAATCTTACAAATTTATTGGATTAACTATCCATTGGATTAATAACTCTATAATAAAATGTCAAAATAAACATAAGATAATTGGACCCACGGATTAATAATTCTAATTCCATGCTCTAATCTTTCCAATCAAATATGTCCTATAGTCACTCGTAGGTTGGGATTTTGAAAGGGTAAAATTACAATATACTTTTTTGAGATTTGAGAAAAATGTAGTCAGCTTTGTAATTTTGATATAATTATATTGATTTTTTTTTAATAAAATTAAATCGATTAAAACTAATGTGGATGGTGGGCAGCGGTGACTCTATAACCAAGCATGGGTGTTCAATTGAGCACCATGGAAATATTTATTTATTTTTATATATATGTAATTTAGTCAAAGTTTTATGTCGAACAGTCTAATCTATTTTTCCGAACACTTAATCCACTCTTTTGGACACCTAACTCAACCCAACTTATAATTTTTTAATCAATATATATATGCTTTGTGATATGAACACACGGCATGTTTTGAAGTTTTGCTTTCTCAGCTTGTGTAAAGTATCTCTTTGTCAAAATTATGTGATTTTGTAATTCTCAACAAGTATACCAATTGAACATTAATATTGATTAACAATTTTACAGTTTATCTCAATTTGAATTAAAAGACTTTTTATTTTTTTATTTTTTTTATCATGCTACTGATAAAAATAAAATATATTTATGTAAAGTTTTGTATCTATATTTTAATTTTTGAAACAATGATATTAATATATTAGAATTTTATTTTATTTTATTTGTTTGTGTGATTTGAAAAGTCAAACAATTAAATTTTTTAATGTATACATTGAAAAAAATTTCTAGAGTACCCACTGTGAATCCCCTTAAAAATATTTCTGGAGTTGCCACTGATAATGGGTAAATACTGAAATAAATAAGAGGACTGTTATTAGCATCTTGTCAATTATTTTGAACCTCTCATTTCTTTAGACCACCACTTATAACTTATATAACTCTTAAAATTTCTTTTCTTCTCTCAAATAATATCAAAATTATTCTTGTGAAAACATTTCACTCATTCAATTGAATACACATCTCTGCACCCCAAAAGCATCTCTCCCAAAAACCCTAACAAAACTCACGAAGGTGAGTACTACTTCATCTCCACATATTTGTTTATGACTTGATAAAATAAATGTTTGGTTACATGTTCCCGAACAAATAAACAATATTCGGGTCTGTGTTCCCGAATTTCTGTCATATGTTTGGGAGTTCAATCCCCAAAAAATGACGAACATTTTTTTTTTAAATTTTATTTTTGCCATTTTTAAATAAATAAAAAAAAGTATTCTTATAAGGTTAATCTCCTTTGAGTTAAGAAAACCACCAAAATTATGAACCTCCTCTAAATTTTTATTTTTGTACTCCTCTCGTCTCGTAGAATTATAGTTGCCAGAAAAACTTCTACTTATTCTCATTGCCGAAAAAATGTAGATAATCAAATGATTGCTATCGTTACTGCTGGAATATTGCCGCCAAAAGATTTTTAAGGTTTTGAGAGTGGGTAGGTTTTGAAGGTGGGGTTTGGAAAAGATGGATGAGTGTTGATGGAGAAGGGTGCTCTCATAAACCCTTACTCATGATGTAATTTGTGTGAGCTTAATTGTGAGATGGAATGTCCCACAATTATTGATGTCTTTTTTAGTAATTTTATTTGAGATTATTATTGTAATAAAAAAAAGGCTAAAAAATGAAAAGTCTAAAATAATTGATGTGGTACTAATAGCAGCACTCATAAATAAATATAAATATAAATTTAAGTAGGAAAGATATGACAATTATATTTTTATTTATATGCTTAACAACTTATTGACGAAAAAGAGTTTAACTGTATGTGAATTAAAACTTCGTAGGAGACCAAAATAATTATATCAAAAGTGGGTTTAATTATATTTTTTCTAAATTTCAAAGGGGTTTACTCGCTTGAGTACTATATTTCATGTACATCTGTTCTATAAAAATAGATAAATTACACCAAATTAGTCCTACATTTTTTCTTATGACTAAACATTTCTCTGGGTTTAATTTTTTGAGAGATAATAGTGAATTTTTTTCAGTATAAAATTACACATTTAGGCAATCCACACTACAAAAGTTTTGGATTTTTCCTTATTCAGGAACAAATCCTACATTACAAACAAGAACGTAATACTCCAATGCAATACACTAAAAAACTCCTTAATATATTTTTTCTAAACTTGACAACATAACACTCCAAAATAATTGCTTAGGATGCTTTTCTCAAATGTAACACTCTAATGTGACACACTCAATTTTCTTGGTGTACTTTTTCTAATGTAACACTCCAATTAATGTAATCCTAAACGTACCACTCTAATATTACACACACAAAAACAATAAAAAATTTCTTAATGTATTTTTTCCAAACATAACACTCATAGTTTGAAATTATACATTTGTCCAAAACTTTTTAAGGAATTTTTGTACTCCTTTTGGAATGATTTAAAGAATCCCACATCCTTTTGAAATGGTTTGAAGAATCTTGCATCATGTTTTTGGAGTGTTACATTCGGAAAAAATACATTAAGGAATTTTTTTTATGTGTTACATTGGAGTGTTACACTAAGAAGTTTTTTGAGAATGTTATATTGGAGTGTTGCGTTTGGAAAAAATACACTAAATTTTTTTTTGAGTGTTATAGTTTGAAATTATACATTTTTCCAAAACTTAGAGCATCTCCAATGTTTTTTTTTTCAATCAAATTTAAGTAAAGATTTAGGTTAAAAACTTCTGATACCAAGCGTTTCAATGCTAAATTTTAAATTTTCCTCAAACCGGTCGACCGGAAGGATGTTTGGACGGTTGACCGGCCTAGTGTAATTTTTTTTCAAATTCTCCCCAATCCGGTGTCTATTCGATCGTCTACCTACTTGAGTGACTGGTCATCCATTTGATCGTCCACCAACGGTTATCTAAGAGATTTGATGAAATATTAAATGCTTCCTTGATGAAAAAAGTAGGGCTCCTTTTATTTGATACCAATTTGGTAAAACAGTTAGAATACCGTTTTCATCAAATTTTTGTCAAATTCAAATTTGATGAAATATTTGAGTCTAGGTTGGAGATGGTCTTACTAAGGAGTTTTTGTACTTCTTTTGAAATGTTTGAAGTATCCCACTTCCTTTTGGAATGGTTGAAGAATCCCATATTTCAAGTAAATTTTGTACTCATTTTGAAATGTTTGAAAAATCCTACATTTCAAGTCATTCCAAATATAAAAAAAAAAAATTATATAAAAATTCAATCCAAATTTGATTCTCATAGGTTGTATATCTTACTTTTTTGAGCAAAAAAAAAAAAAAACAAAGGAGAAGGAGGAGGAGGAGGAGGAGGAGAAAACATGATAGAAATAAAAGTATAACCGTAAATCTAATTTTTAAATAATACATTAAATCTATCTTTCCAAACTAATGAGACTAATTGGTTTATAAAAAAATCATTGAGATTAAACGGATCACCATTCCTCAAGATGAGATTTAATGCAAATAAAAAATGTAAATTAATTTGTTATTACAATTTAGAGAAATGCATTGGTAGAAAAATTAAAACAACAATAAATTAATTTATTGATAAAAAAAACTTATTATTATACATAAATATTTATGAAAATTATAACGGTATGAACCCAAATTATCATGAATTCCTGTAATTGAAACACATAAGTATTATTTTTATTTTTTGTTTTCATTTTCAGTTTTTTAACAATTTTATTTTTGATTCAATCTTTTGCTTCTTCTTTTTTCTTTTCTTTTCTTTTTTTATTTTTATTGTTATGGTAGAACTTCGAATACAGTTTAAAAATATTTTCTAAATATAGGCTATTTAAACAAAAATTAGAAAAATATTTTGCTAAAATAGTTCCACAAATGCATTTTTGGCACTGATTTATTCCCCCCCAGTAACGTAAGACAATTTTGAAAATTGTATTAAAAAAAAAAAACTGAAAATATAATTGTCACATAACACGTGCAAAATGATCAAAAAATACACTACAAAATTTTTAAAAATATAGTAATACTGATGGAGATTCTTTTCATCTCCCCTACTCTCATATAGTTACGTCTTATTATTATGACTTATTAAAAAAAAAAAAAAATTACAAATGAAGAGAAGACAATAGATAGAGGAGATTTATAATTGAACAAAGGTAAAAGAAGCTAAAAGGACAACAATGACAAATAATTTTTGTTTTCCAAGTATGTCACGTGATACAAATTTAAAGTATGGTAGTGAAAGACCTATGTTTTTTTTATATTTTTTATTATAGAAAAAAGTCAATAAATGCATTTA